ACAACTTTGTAATTTTGTCTTTTCCTGTCATTGCCTGTCTTCTCTCTCAGTCTCCATATCTGCTCCATCTGCTTTTCTCATAGCTGTGTTAATGATGTCCTTTTGGTCACCCTCAACATATGGAATACACTCTCTGGAGCAATTGCTGTATCTTTCAAAATCTTTCAAGGTTTTCTCTTACCATGACACATACTGTAAACTGCCAGCAGATAATGCCCAGTTTAGTTGCTTGTAGGAATTTTGGATTTCATTACTACACTTGATGTGTCCATGTGTTAACTTGAAACAGGCATAGTCTATCAGTTTATTTGAGAAGCTCAGAGGGATTAAATAGAATTTTTTTTTTTTTAGAGAAAAAATTCCCAATGCTATGCCCTGGAGGAGATGTACTGCCCTAAGGTCATACATAAATATCAGGTGTGTTGCTTTCACACCTTGGATCATCATTCATGCTTGTGCAAATGGACATAGTATTGCTACTAAGCAGTTTACAGTAACATCTTACAGAATTGTAAATTAGTGCCCCAGAGATATGATAGCAGAGAGTCAGCACTTATATGGGCAGCTGAGCATAGAGATTTAGGGATTTCTTTTCACCTTGCTGTTTTTACTGTTTGGGTTCTTTTTAGACACATGTAGAAGCATATCCTAAACATATTTCGTCCTATTATCTTGGTGTGCTAAGTGTTCTTTTTCCCATTCAGTTAAATTGAAATGGTATAGAAAAACAGCAGTGAACAAAGCAGCATATTGCCTTGGAAGCAATAAAATATTTTTATTGTTTATACAATTAATTTTTTTAATACAAATATCTATATTTGCTATAAAAAAAAAACCAAACAAGCAACACAAACATGACAGGGTGCACCTCTGCACCATACAACAGAGTACAGAACTTAGCATATATTCATAGAGTCACATGTGAAATAGGAGACAGCAGCTGTAGACTTGTCTATGAGTGCTGTTGCACCAAAAGTACTTAACCCTGTGGTATGTGGTGCTAATTAGGTTGGACATGGTGCTAATTAGGTCAGATACAACATTGTGGTCATGCAAATACACAGTGCCTGTGAGTCTGGTTCAGACCTGGCTGGAGGATTCCGCACGAACTGCTGCATGAGGCCATATGCATGCATCCAGAGAGAGAAATTGTTTGCTCGTGGCCTCTTGTTCATTATCCCTGTAAGGTTTAGCTTCAGTAACAGATGCACTTGCCACATACATGTGTCAGATGGGTTTTGTTCCAGGGTTTACCTCCCTCTTGGTAAAAATAGAAGATGTACTTCTAAGTGTGTTTTTCAGGCTCTGAGTTGTTGCTGTGGAATAATGGGCATCCATCATAGCTGCTTCTTAAAACCATTCTGTTTTACTTCCTAAATAAGGGTGTAAGTACTGAGAGGAGCAGGAAAGAAGGTGATGGTAATTTTTTTCAGTCACCAGAAGTTTATAGAAATTGTGAGTATCTGCTGCAAGGTCATGGAGGCAGAGAGCAGTATGACAAAGAGCAAAGCACATTCTCCTCCAGTACATTTATCAGGAGACCTGCCTTCCCCCTTCAGTGAGACACAGCTATGTTTCAGATTGGAGATACAATCATGACTAGAAGATAAATTCTGTGTCTATATAACTGGATGGCAAATATATTCCCAAAACACTGACTGCAGAATTGCTGTCTTTAAATAACTGTTTAATATATCTATAAACATAGCATCCTTTCAAAATTTGAATATTCAAGTTGATGTTTGTAGGAAGGTTAGTGCTTATTTGTAAGAACCAGGTAAGCTGAAGAAGCATTGTTCAAGAGGCAGTGTTCAGAATGACCCATGGGATAAAGGGTATTACAAGATCTTTCTCCTTTTTTTATATTTTTTAAAGGATCTCAAGTAGTCATTCTGGCAACTTCTCTCTGTTGTTTCATTTCCATTTGACAGACAGATGAGACAGAGGTTTGATTAGAATGTCATGAGCGATCAGTAATAACTAGGAAAGACTAGTGAAAATGTGGACCCTGTCTGTAAGGAAATGGGACATGGTTATTCAGCATATGGAGTGTCACCACAGGCCCCCAGATGGGGAATAATTAGCATTGACTCCATGATTGCAGAAGGCTGATCAATTGCTTTATTACAATCATCCTATACTATTTTATACTACACTTATTAAGAAACTCAGTAACCCTTAGAGCCAGTCTGATACAGCTTTGACCTAATTGGTCAATCAACCCAAACACTATCCAATTAAGAAATCATGTTTTGGTAAACAAATCTCCATGACACATTCCACATGTGCACAACAGCAGGTGCAACAAGTGGAGATAAGAATCGTGTCTCATTCTTTTCTCTGATCTTCTCACAGCCTTTCCTGGGAAAATGCCTGAGAAAGCCTGTGCCTGCTCTCTGTGGCCAGAGAGCTGCTGCCACAATGGAGAAAGCTGAGGTACACAACAACTTTTTTGCCTCAGTCTTCACTGACAGGCGCTCCAGCCACAGTGCCCAAGTTACAGTGGGCAAAGCCAGGGATTGGGAGAAGAAAGAAGATTGGGTTCTGCTCTAGAAGATCAGGTTTTGAGAACCTGAAGGTGCCCTAGTTCATGGGACCAGATGAGATACATCCATGGGTCCTGAGGGAAGTGGCAGAGGAAATGGCTATGCCACTATCCGTTGTATTTGAGAAGCTGTGACAGTTTGGTGAAATTTCCTCCGAATGGAAAAGAGGAAATGCAGTCCTCATTTTTAAAAATGGGGGAAAGGAAAGTGTATGGTACTAGAGGCCAGTCAGTCTCATCTTGGTATCTTGCAAGATCACAGAGCAGATCCAACTGGAAACTATTCTGTGGCACATGGAGAATAAGCAAGTGATTGGTGACAGCTGGCATGACTTCACTAAGGGCAAATCTGACAAATTTGTTGACCTTCTACAGTGGGATAAGAGCATTGGTGGATAAGGAAAGAGCAACTGACATTATCTACCTGGTCCTGTGCAAAGCATTTGACGCTGTCCTGTACAGTAGCCCTGTTTGTAAACTGGAGGTATAGAGATTTGATGGATGGACCAGTTGGCAGATAAGAATACAGCTGGATAGTCACACTCAAAAGAGTTGTGGTCAGTGCCCAAATGGAGGAGTGACAAGTGGTGCTCCTCAGAGGTTGGTATGGGGACAGGTGCTGTTTAACACCTTTGGCAAGGTGACATAGAGGGGGGATGTTGAGGGCACCCTTGGCAAGTTAGCTGACAACACCAAACTCTGGTGCAGCTGACACACTGCAGGGAAGGGATGCACTAGGGGGACCTGGACAGGCTCAAGACGTGGGACTGTGCAAACCTCATGAAGTTCAATAAAGCCAAGTGCAAGACTGTGTGTGTGGGGATTGGGGGGGGACAATCCCAGGCACAAATACAGGCTGGGCAGGGAATGGATTGGGAGCAGTCCTGAGGAGAAGGACTTAGGGGTATGGGTGGATGAGAAGATTACATGAGCTGAAAAATGTGCGCTTGCCAAAATGCAAAAAGCCAAACGTGTCCTGGGCTGCATCAAAAACAGCATGGCTGGCAGAGCAAGGAAGGGCATTCTGCCCCTCTACTCTGCTCTCATGAGACACCATTTGGAATGCTGCATCCAGTCATGGGGTCCCCTACATTAGAAGGACATGGACCAATTGGAGTGAGTCCAGAGGAGAACAGGATGATCAGGAGGCTGGAGCACCTCTCCTATGAGGAAAGACTGAGCGAGTTGGGGTTGTTCAGCGTGGAGAAGAGAAGGCTCTGAGGAGACCTGATTGTGGCCTTTACCATATAGAGGGTGGCTGTAAGAGAGCTGGAGAGAGACTTTTGGGGCATGTAGTGATAGGACAAGGGGGAGCAGCTTTGAACTGAAGGGGTTAGGTTTAGATTGGATATTAGGAAAAAGTTCCTTACTGTGAAGGTGATGAGGCACTGGAACAGGTTGCTTCGAGCAGCTGTGGATGCCCCAACCCTGGAAGTGTTCAAGATCAGGTTGGATGAGGCTCTGAGAAATCTGGTCTAGTGAAAGGTGTCTCTGTGTGTGGCATGTGAGCTGGAACTGGCTGATCTTCAAGGTCCCTTCCAACCTAAACAGTGCTGTAATCTATGATAATTGACCCATGGCAAGTCAGCAAGCAACTATGTTGCATAATATACTTGGACACAATGGATTAAGACATGACACCTGTGAAATAATGAAAATTATGAGAATTCATAGCTTTTTGATATTGGTATAGTTGCTCCTGGCATTTTGTAGATTGTTTAATGTCACGGAGTGGGATCCATTTATCTGAAGATTTGAGCAATTGTTGTAAATTTTATAATGTCATCAACCAATTTTTTCTTATTTGAGGAATGGCAGTGATAGTGACCACTTCATAACAGAAACATAGATTTAAAAAAATAATATTGCTTAGAAAAAGGCAAACAAAGAGTAAGTAATCAAAAGTTGGGTATTTAATTTTTTTTATTCTTTTTGATGTTATCTTCAATTAGTTGTTTTTTTTTTCACTGTGCCTGCCAGGAAAATATATGCATGCACAGCTAGATATCTCTGACTTTTAAAGTCATGGCACTTGGCAAAATGCTTTTAAAGAGAGAAACACAAAAGCCAACATTATCCATGAAAACTACGTAAATATTTATAAGCAGTATATGTTTGATTTCTGTTCTTTTAAAAAATTATTTATTTATTTTTAAAATCCATCTGCTGCTACCAGATGATAAATATTTAAATCAAATTTGTGCCTGGGATACAAGGACACTATTTCTTTCAGAAGGGACATTATGAATTTGATACTGTAGACCCAGCCTCAGTTCCCCAGCTCAAACAGCATAGCAGGCACTTTGTTGGGGTACATTTATAGACTTGTATGAAAAAGCTTCCTGTCTGGTAGACTGTAAACAAGTGATCATTTTGCCTAATCTCTTTCAGGAGATTTCCTGGAGGTTGGACTGGAATATGTCTCTTGGGAAAATACCTCATTTTGCCTGAAAGACTCCAAGCAATGATGACTTACCACCTCCTCAGGTAAGTTGTTCCAATCTCTAGTTACTCCCACTGCTAAGAAGTTATGTAATTTCCATCCTGAATTTGTCTGATTCCAGTTTCCATTCATTATATCTTTTTATGTTTCTGTCTGCAAGACTGAAAAGCTCACCCTGCAATCAGGTACCTTTTCCATGTGTGTATATCTGGGTGCAGTGATCCAGTCACCACTCTTCTCTGACAGATTTAATAAACGTCTTAAGCCTTATACCTTAGTTGTTATTTTTCAACCTCTGGATCATTTTTTCTGCCCCTGATTTTTTTTTTTCTAGTGCTTATATATCCTTCTTGAATCATGGGCACTGCTTCTTCTGATGCTACGTGTAGAGCAAGGTCACATCCTAATAGTTACTCCCTTTTTTCATACAGAGGAAAATCAGTTATTATGTATTACAGCTGACATTTGCTAATACATTGCATGTGTCAATAGATTGGTAGATAAGGTGCCTGGAGCTGTGGAGGTCTGACACTTGCATTCTCCATGTGCGTTTTCACTACCTAATGCATGCTCTAGATTAAAGGAGCAATGTGTGTCAGACCTTCTGCATACAACATTCCTTTTCTATACTTAGATGAGCTATAAATCCATCTAATACATAGAAATTGTAATTCCCCTTTGCTAAATAAAGAGGGAAAGGCTACATTGTGAAGAGTTCATTTTGTTCTTCCTGTAGGAGAGGTTCTACATTAGGAAGAGAACTATTCTGTTGCTGTGCACAGAGTAGAAGATATAAAAGAGGAATAAGGGTGAAGAAGCACTGAGAGAATATAGTGGTAGACTTCTGTGAAAGCTCTGAGTGACTATTTTTCTGGGCAGCAGGGGAGTGGAAATAGCACCCAGTTAGGAGTTTTACCCAAGAAAAGCTGAAATTTAATAGAGCTGGCTGGCTTTTGTCTGGACGCATACAAAGCTGGTAAGAAAAACATTGTCATTAATAGCTTGTGGAAGTTTAAAATGCACTTATTTATCTCATTTGGCACATGTACAAAAACTGCTCTGAGTACAGGTGTATGACTTTAATTCCTATGGTAGAGAATTATAAAATCATGGAAATATTTGGGCAGGATATGTGCAAATCATCTAGTCCAGCTCTGTGCTTGATGCACACTGTTGCCAACATTCACTTGGGAATGGACCTCCTTGGAAAATCTGAAAATTTTTTCCACAGCTCCTCCAGTTCCTTATCTACCACATCTTTTTTCTTATTGCACTATCAGACAGGCAAATCTTTTTCAGCTCTAATATGAGCTCAATCAGTGAACACTGCCATCAGGAAGGAGAAACCTTTTACTTCTCCAGTTTTTTTGGGTTTAATTAGACATTGATCCTGTCTAACGTAGGCTATATGACTGTGGATGCTGGCACACAAATGGTAAAAGAGCAGATAAGAGCATTCAAGGGGAACTGCTTATGCAGCACAGCTTTCTAATGTAATCACAATGCTTGTAGTTTGCCAGTACAAAAAAAGTGAGATCATTCCCCTCCTCCTTGGCCATGCATTTCCATTTTTCTTGTGGCCATGGCAAGCTGAACTAGAAGAAAACAAACCTCACCATAAAAAGTAATTACTGAACAGTTTATTGAATAGCAGTGCCAGTTGAGACAGACTTGTATGGAGTTGCTCTTTTCAGTGACAGCTAACCATTTAGTTGACTTTGCTGCAATGAGAAAGTTCATCTTGAAGTACTGTTCCATAGCAGTTTATCCTTATCTAAGTCAGAGCTATCATGGTCAAATATCTGGTATTTTTGCAGCTGAGCAGGAGGCTGGCCCAGGGAGTTTGGCAGCCCAGAACTAAGCTTGAACTAAACCCCAAAAAATCCTGCTTGTTCTCCACTGATTCCAGGGAGATGATGTGTCTGATAATGAATCACTCTTTTATACAGTGTGTTTTAAACTTGTGACGTGGCCTGATGCTAGTGTGCTGGTACATGTGGTGAGAAGGGGAAGGGAGAAAGGCTGGATTGGGAATCTGTGTCCTCAGACATGGACAATGTCCATGATTTCATTTGTTCGTTTCCTGAAGCATATTATTGATGTGATTTTTTGTGTTCACAGTAGGTCTTAAGATTATTGTAAAATGATGAAAGAGACCTGTCTTGTATGTAAACATGCAGGGTCAATATTCTGTGGATCATTCTGGACTCAGTGATTATTGAATAACAGCTTGTGTTTGCAGGGACTGACTCAGTGGCTGAGGTCTCTTCCAGTCTTAAATTTTTAGCTGCACCTTTGCTAAGAGTACCCTAGTGTTAAAACTGTTAAGAACTCATTTTTCCTAATTTGACATTAGTTAGCCACTTTCTAATTTGTTACATTTGGTACTATTCCATGCTTTACTGTTGTATTAGTTTAACAGCAGAGTGAGAGTTAATGAAAAAGAGCATTTTTTCTCTTAGTTGTGCTAAAGATTTTCCCCAAATGCAGCCATTAGAGACCAGCTGCAGACAAAACAGCACAGGCAGTTGATTTTTCAACAATGTTAGATTTTGAGCTCCTGTCTACAGTAATTAATTAGCTCCATTGCTGAGCCAGCTCCCTGCGGGACTGCACGATCATTAGTGCCAAAGCCAGGAAGGGAGCATGAACTCCCAAACCCCTGAGAATCTACTGCAGCAACTCTTGTCATCTACAGAACATTTCAAGAACATTTCAAGTGACACTGGTAGGAAAGATTCACTTTCTCATCTGTATGAAGGCCTTGCTTAGATTCAGTTAGACTTCTGGCTGGGACCAGGCAAATCTACTTCCTGGGCAAGATTTTGTCATAGGCTATCTGAAACCCAAAGGGTTGCTCTTAGCTAATTCATCTTAATTTTGCTGATATGTAGAGAGAATTATAGAAGACTTGGGAGATGTCAGGGTACAAATCAATGGTGATGTACAGTACTAGGGCTGCTATGCCAAAAGCTAGCCCAGAACCAAGTATCTGTCAGCTAAAAGTCAAACTTGGATACAGCAGAAACACAAATTAATCCAAACATGCCAAGATGAAAGTGCTGGCATGAAATTACACAACTTCCTTCAGGTGCAGAAAACCCGCAGACACAGATTATTTACAAATCACTTTTATGAACTCCTTTTTGTAGGCTTGGGATGCAGTGTAATATAGTTTAATCTCTTCTCTCATTCCCCATGCTTGTTTCAGAAGAGAACAAGAAATTTAATCCAAACAAAGGATTAAGAAATTTCAGTAACTGGACTACTGCCATTATTGAAACAATGGGCCAGCTCTTTAAATGCTTGTTCTTGATTGAATTGAAGTCAATGACTACATCAGAGGGAGCAGAACTGGAATGCAGAAAAGAGGAAATGAAAAGTCTAGAAGTGATACACAATTATTTTACCTATTACGCACTTCTAGCAATGCATTGCATAAACAAAGCAGCTCTGAGAAAGCATCTCTCCTCACTGGAGAATAAAGTTAGGGAAAACTTTTGAGAGATGGACAGAGGAAAGATAAATGAGATTTAATATAGATAAATGTAAGGTAATACACCTGGGAAGAAATAATAATCATCCTATATACAAAATCAGGAGCTGCTCTTTAGAAAACAGAAATAGAGAGGAAGGCCTGGGAGCAATGGTTTGTAATTAATTACCGAAGACAGAACTCAAAACCTAACACTGGGGCAAAACCCAAACACATTCTTATTCTGGGCCAGCACCAGAGGTTTGTTTCTACAGTAAGTGCACAGAGATCAGGGAGCTGGCAACAACACAAGCACAATATTAAATTTATGGCTATGATGTTATTAATTCCATTTATAAGCTACAGACTTGACTGCTGATACCCCAGTTTGTGGTTTTCTATTTGCTGAATACAGTAAAACAATAAAACATGTCTAAGATAAAAACTCCTGATGAATCTGTATGTGTACCTTTTTTTTTCTCTTGTCCTCATACTTAAATGCAGAACTGTGGCTTAAAAATTATGAGAATTAACCTAAACAAGATGGTGGAAGCAAAGCCCCCTTTCCTAAGGAAAAAAAAATTACATTTGAAAACAGTGTAGAGAGAATTAAAACAATGTGACAATACCATAACTCAGTGAATGGGAATCTTTTGGCAAGAAGCGAAGACCAAATATAGGGCTATGCTATTATTTAGAGAAAAGTTTGTCAGTAAATGCATTTAGCAGGTAGAAAACAAAGATATTACAAGTAACTGTGTTCCACCAAAACCAGATGAACATTACTATGCTGAGAAGACAGTGTTGTGTGAAAGCCTGCCAGACAACCCAGACGGAGTGCCATGAAGAGCTGTCTAATTGCAAGACCTGCTGGCTGTGTATTTAGAAGTTCACTACTTGAGGATCAGAGGGAAACACAAATTGATACCAGTCCTAGAAAAGGAAAGGAGGAAAACCCTAACAAGGTATAGTATGTACAATATTAAAGATTTACAGGACTATTTCATCTTACTAGTGCTGTTAGCTAGTATCACAGGGTAATCCTGTCTTTGATTCCTTACAGGCCATGCTAGAAAGATGGCACTTCTCCCCACTATAAGGCAACCTGGAGTGGTATTATTTCTTCCCAGGCTGAATGCAGCTTGGGCTCACACCATCAGGCTATTTGCAAGCACTTAATTATCCCACAGGCAACTTTTCCTCCTCCTGGGAAAATAATCATGGATCATTTCGTAGAGCCCTATATGTTAAAAAGCTTTTTATTTAAATAAGTGCAAAACCAAGTAACTATTTTTTTTAAATATGAAAAAGGAAAAAAAAACCCAAAATATAAAAGCTCTCAAAACTGACATTTCATCTTCTATCTGAGAAGGCAGATAAAGCTACATAATTAGTCAGGGAAGGATCACTCCCTTTCTCCCCACAGCCTCCAGAGGCTAAACTCCAGATAAACCTTTTGGAGACTGCAGAGCTCCAACTGCAGAGGGTTTTAGTATGTGAAAGATGTTTGGAGCACACAATAATTAGCAGCTCACAGCTGAATTTTGCTAGCTGTCATAGTATTTGTTGCTATCACTGCATGAAAGTACTCCTGTAAGTCTCCTGAGTCTTCATAAATGTGTGCTGTAGACTGATATGTCCACATGGAACTTTTTAATAGAAAAATTTGGTCAGTGTACAACACTTAAAGGCTTACAGCAAATCCCTTTTCCATGGCAGAACACCACCTGGACAGAATGAGAAAATAAAAGTTATTTTCTTGGACAAAGCAGGAATTCCTTTACTCTTTATATTATATCTGGGCCCTTACAATCCAGGGGGATTCAGTATGCTGGGAGAATCAATGGGTAGCCTGCTAATCCAAATCCACATCTTCTTTGTATCCCAAATCAGTGCTCAAGAGTTCTGGCAGAAGACAAGCCTTTTCTTAAGACTTGCCCTTCATCTCTGCTTGCTCACAGTTTTTAAGTCCCAGTGGGAAACTGTAGAGACACTGGGAGAAAGACAGAAAATATATTGTAATTCCTTTGAACTCAATTGAGATTCACCTCTGTTTTAAGAAAGCAAACACCAAGAAGTGTCTGGGTTACCTTGAATTCAGTTGTGCTTAAGTGTGTCAGGATTGGTACTGTTTTTGAGATAGTCTTCATTACTGCTGCTTTCTAGACTGCAGACTCAGATTTGTATAGATTTCTTACAAGTATTTCTGACATTTAATTACAGTCCACTTAATGCTAGATGCACTTGTGCTGTCTCTTTTCTCATCCAAAACAGTTCAAGTTGTTAATCTGTGGGCTGTGCTTTGTTTTCAACAGTTGATGTCTGTCTTGTTAATGCTTTTTAACTTTTGCAGGTATGCTTGGCTTATCTTCTCTTCTTAGCTCCCATGGTCTCTCTACCCCCACAAGAAAAGCAGCTGCCAGAAGATATATGCATAACATATATGCACTTAAAAACACTTTCATTGTCTTTCTATTCAATTGCAAAAGTCATTTTCTTAGCTCATTGTTCCAGTCCTGTCACTCTTTTTTTGCACAATGCCATTGGCTCCATTTCTTCACTGCATGAAATATATACGATACAGCTGACTTCTCTTTCCTTTTCAAGCCATGTCTAATCTACATCACCAAGAAGTTTCCCTCATTGCCATTATACAAAAGATACTAGTATTTTAAGGCAGTATTGTACATTCACTTTCATGCTTTCACCCATGCTGCTGATTATGCATAGCACAAAATCTGTGTAATACCCCTAAACCTTTCTTTCTCTGCTTTTTCAACCATCAAGTCTCTGCCTCGAGCTTCGTCAGAGTCCAAGTATAGCTACATAACTCTTTTGCTGGAGATACTTTTTCATATGAAACAGTTATAACCTCTACCTGCTCACCTTCTCTCTATAAGGCACTTCAAAGGCAAAATAGTTTGTTGGTTTTATGTCTGTAGTGCAAGCTACAGTGAGGATGGGTTTAGGTGTAATTTTAGCATTAACAACAAAAATACAGTAAACCAAATTATTTGTCTTGTTTCTAAGTCTGTAAGGTACTTCCAGGGAGTAGTTTCGGCATAGGCTGTTTAATTTGCCATACCAAAGTTGCTTAAGTCTGTGGATTCCAGGCGTAAATTTGCCGCAGGGACTAAGAGACAAAGAGGGGGACTGGAACGGTGCCTTTTCTGACAGATGACTGTTACTGGCTTAGTAGAATTACCAGAATGCACCCTGAGGGGCTGTAGTCATTCTGTTTGATTCACTCAGTGAGAACCATGCTCAGCATGGAGCCATGGGGGCATGGTGATGTGATTTACAGGTCCCTTACCAGGATCATAGTCAAAGTCACCCACAGTGCTGCCTGGACAAACATCTGGCCACATTTCTTTTAGCATGGAGCTGTGAGTGGTTCTTCAAAATTCTGTTTTATGGAGAGGTAATATAAAATGGCATTTGCCCCTGTTTCTGTTTTTTGGAAATCATGTTATTTTGTCATCTCATGTGTAGGTAAAGTAAATAATATAGAGTAAAGGATATTCTATTATAAATTATACTTTTCAAAAACCAATTTAAAGGGTTAAGACTGGAGCAGAAATTAGAATAATAGTCAGGGTATGCAATTTAAGATTTTTAGAGACTTAAGATATCATTAAGCTAGAGAAATGAGATCTACATGCTTTCGATATTTAGCAGCTAGAAGATCACATTTTCATTCATGACCACAAAGTCTGTGTTTTATTGAGGAAAAATGAGTCTTGTCAAATAGCTTTCATATTGTTTTTTTGGCAAGATTACAAGTACATTTGATAGACATTACTCTATTGACATAATACACTAGTTTATGTAGGACATTTGTTTTATTCTGTGTGGCAGTGTGCATTAAAGAGATGTATGGGAAGCAAAAAAATTTAAAAAGTATTTTCTATATGGTTGTTTGCCATGTCACAGCTCCCTGCAACATGCCTCCTTTCTGTGTTTTTACTTTATTGCCTTATAATACCTGTAGTTTAAAAATGCCCTGTCTTTGCATAATGTCTAACATCTTGAAGTATTCAGAATACCAAACAATGGGCACTGGAATCAAACCAGTTTGTCAAGGATCTGCCCTTTTCTAGTTACACCTCAAAACTCTAAGGTAGTCACATTTTCTGTATTTTATAAAATAAGTATTATCAGGTTTCTAATTGAATGAATCAGTGATGCAACCATGCAATAAAGCTCACGGACTGCTGAGCCCAATGCAGGGCATTACTCCATCCAGTGCACAGTGGATAAATATACCTTTAAAAATATCCAGCTATCATTTTCATGCTGTTGGACTAATCACAAGAGAATCTGTGGACTGAATAGTGAAAGGGTGAAAACTACTTTTAAAGCCCGCAATAAGGGTGAGCCCTCAGTAGTGCGAACACATATGCCAGATGAGAAGAGAGCTTCAGTTCCGCTGTGATGAGTCCCTGATGCCATTCACTGATGCTAAGTTATACAAAGTTTAATCTCTGATGTCAGTACAATTCTCAGCAGATGTCTTAGTAATTTCTCCATGCAGTCAGTGAAAGGCAAAACTATTTTTTTTCTAGCATTCAGGAACAAATAGCACTGATAATAAAATGTCTCTTTACTTGTCTACTAGTCTGGCTAATGAAGATGACGGGCCATGAAGTTTCAGAGTATTTATGATTTTAAAAGGTGGAATATACACCCAGTAATCACTTATAGATAGGTGACTCTAGTATTCAGGAAGAGTTGATTCCCAAGCTGCAAACCCTGTTATTCATCTGGGTATTAAGTGTTGATTCTACCAGGTACATGGTGAAAAGGTCTTTGACTTAAGTCATTCAAATGACATAGACATTCTATGAGCAAATCACACAGACAAAATCTCTGACTACAAGTGAGGAAGACTCTCTCCTTCTTTACCGGAAAAAGTCTCAAAGGCTACACATTATTGTCTTTTTAGTCATGAATGTGTAGAGAGCTGGGGCCCTGAATATTTGGTTGGTGAGTGTAGGAAACAAATCAATACAGAATTACTTTTTGTAAGATCTGTTCATTTGTCAGCGGTCAAAACATTTCATTTTCTTCAAAAGTATATTTTGATTGAGACAATACTATAATAATACAGGCATTGTGTATTTAATTTTATTAAACTAAAAATTGTGCTATTTGCTATGAGAAAGACAAAATTAAAACACTTTTTAGTGGCTTGTAATAATCTGATATCTCCTAAAGTAACGAAGTGCAACCTGAATTGTGTTAAAGGAAGTTTCTTTGGATTGTGACTATGTCTGTAACAAGTGACTAGTGTTATCAACAGAGCTTTTAAGTGAAGGCTTTACTGTTATAGGCTTGTCCGACTTGGATAACAAACTCTTTTAGTATTTCAGCCCATAAATCCTGAACAGAAAGATACTATTCTCTTGTGTCTCTGACAAACTAAAAGAGAATCTTTGTTTGCAGAGCTCCCCAGAGTTAATACAGTACTAGTTAATGATTTCACCATGGTAATTACTTTCTAGGGTCTGTCTGTCAGGCAGAATGGGCTGCATCAATTTTGTGCAACATTACTGTTTTACCTGGTTTCATGCTACTTGTCTATCAACCTGTCAATAACAAATTCTGAATATATGGACCAATTTATCATAGAATCATAGAATGGTTTGGTTTGCAAGGGACCTTAATTATTTATATCATTTAGTTCCAACCCCCCCTGTTATGGGCAGTGACACCTTCCACTAGACCAGGTTGCTCCGAACCTCATCCAACTTAACCTTGAGCAATTCCAGGAATGGGGCATCTGCAATTGCTCAGGGCAACCTGTTCCAGGGTCTTTCTACCCTCACTGTAAAGATTTTTTTCCTAATATCTAGTCTAAACCTACTCTTAGTTTAAAGCCATTCCCCCTTGTCCTATCATTACATGTCCATATAAAAGGTCTCTGGCTTTCCTGTAGGCCCCCTTCAGGTATTGGAAGGCTGCA